ACTGGTGGTTTCAGAGTGGTGTCAGACTGGTTTCAGACTGGTGTCAGACTGGTGTCAGACTGGTGTCAGACTGGTTTCAGACTGGTGTCAGACTGGTTTCAGACTGGTGTCAGACTGGTGTCAGACTGGTGTCAGACTGGTTTCAGACTGGTGTCAGACTGGTTTCAGACTGGTGTCAGACTGGTGTCAGACTGGTTTCAGACTGGTGTCAGACTGGTGTCAGACTGGTGTCAGACTGGTGTCAGACTGGTTTCAGACTGGTGTCAGACTGGTGTCAGACTGGTTTCAGACTGGTGTCAGATTGGTTTCAGCCTGAACCTTTCTCCTGTCTCTCCAGTGAAGTGCTTTGTGCTGCCGCTGGCTTTACGTTCTCTGGTTTGTTACTCGGTAGAAGCTGCATCTGCTCCGTATTTAGCACTGAAACCTGCTAGCTTAGTGCTTTGCTCCATTCTTTCATCCAAATATTCAAACATCTTGAATTTCCTCTCTGAAAACTCCCAGTTCCTCTCAACAAACTAAATATCTGTATCAGTGAATAAAATGTTTGATTCGGATCAGACAGTCAAACTGCTGAGTCATGCTGGCCATGAAGCATGATTCAGCAGTTATATTGATGCTCTGATGCAAAATATGGAAGGTTTGATGAAAGTAATGTTGGGAGACCAAACACAAGAGACACAGAAAGCTGAAGTAGAAATGGGAACATGAGCGAAAACGCTTTGCAGAAATTACATCATACTGTTAAAATTTCCATTCATGATGAGAAAATCTGCGACAGACTGCAGACCCGTCCAGGTGACCCCGCCTGTCGCACGAAATGTCTCGCTGGAGAGACAGCAGCACCTCATCCATCCATTTTCTTCCACCTGCGACAAGGGTGGAAGAAAATGGATGGATGATGAGAAAATCTCACAGTAAACAGACAAAACATCAACTTACTGTGGAACACAAATGATGGCAGAGACACAGAACCTGCTAATATGTTCTCTTCCTCCTCCTCTTCCTCTTGATGGTGACCTGACCAGGTTGGTGTCAGATTGATGCTCCATCTCTGTTTCACTGATCTGCCTTCCCTTCTGTCTGCTGTGGTTTGGCCTGTTAAATCACACACACACACACACGCACACACACACACAGACACAGACATTGCTGTCACCAGAGCCTCTGAGCTCGTAGACACCTGGTGACAATCCATCTATCATCTGTACAGACCGACAGACAGACACTGGACCAGGATGGACATTTTAAAGATGAAACATGTCTCCCTGAAGGCCTGTGTGTGTGTATGTGTGTGTGTGTGTTGTTGCAGCCTAATTAGCCCTTAGCTCACACTCATTAGTGGGAAGAACCAGAGCTCTGGTTCTGCTCTGCCTCCTCCGACCCAACTGGGAGGCCAAACTGGGCCGACTGGTGAATCAGTAGCTCATCAAACTGGGCTGATCCGTTCTCCATGGATGAAGCAGGATTGATACCTGGAAAATGTTTGTACTTCCAGGGAACCGCTCTCGTTTCGCTGGAGCCTAGGGACTGCTGTAACCACAGCAACACACTGGGTCAGAACCAGTCACTGGGTCCTGGACATATTTAAAGGGTTCAGCAGCTTCCAGGAGGTCCAAACATTCTGGTTCTGGAGGCCAGTCCACTCAGATTCATGGTCTGGTGTGAGGATAACTGGACCAACAAAGTTACCTCAGTGGCTAACAACTAGCATAGTTAGGCTAACAACTAGCCTGGCTAAGTTGGTCACCTAATGCTGAATAAGAATCTCAATCAGAAGCCAACTTCAGCTCTGTATTGAACATGTTGAACTGAGTCTCCAAAGCTAATGCTACCTAGCAAGTTTCCTAGTGCCAGCCAATCAGAATGGACACCACTTCAGTTAGTTAGCCAGGTGTTAGCGACAGTTCCTGGCTAACCCGGCTGGGCCCAGTCAGGGATCTGTGGATCTAATGGATCTACTGCAGGAACACTGAGGGCTTTACTGGACCAGAACAAAACGGTTTGGGTTTTTCCAACTGAAGATGCATCACCCCTCTCTCCTTCTGCCCCCCCTCTCAGCGTTGCCCCATTGTTCCTGCCCCTCACCCCCACATCGGGGCAGAACAAAGCCGGCTCCACAGGGGCACTAAGCTGCTGGCGCTTAGACTCTCTGCTGCTGGTCGCCTTTGTTACCCCAAACACCCCCCTGCCCCCCTGCCCCCCCCCAGCCCCCCCACCTTGTTATAAACTTGAAATCTTCCCTCCATTTCTCCTGTAAATTTAACCCCATCCTCTCCTTCACGCCTCCCTCAAAACGTGGGAGGAGGGAAGGGGGGATTAAGGCGAGTGTGGTGGGGGGGTGGGGGACCTTGATGGTTGCTAGGGGCAACCATACGCCAGGACGTCTGGTACGCGTGCGCGAGCGTTGAGGGACCTGCTATCGTCCCGCCAATTTCGAGTCTCACAATTGGCTGAGAGAGAAAGAGAGAGGACGACGCACGCGCACGTGAGCGCGCAGGAGAGAGAGCAGATCAGAGAGGGGGGGAGGGGGAGGGGGGAAGGGGGAGGGGGGGCGGTGGGAGGATTTAGCGCCAGCAGCGTCTTTTTGCGTCCAACACAACAAGCTCATTACCGAGCTGTGCGCGCCTGGAGACGGATTTACGCACCGAGCAGAAGGAGGTTGGTTCTTTTTCTTCATCTATTCATCCATCCATCATCCATTTATTCATCCATCCATCCCTTCATCCCTTCATCCATCCATCCATCCGCTCATCCATCCTGTCTGCGGCTCTTTGTTTGCGGCTCTGTGAGCGGCTCTGCAGGTTGACGCGGGTAATTAGCCGCTAACGGTGCGGCGGACCGGTGCGGCGGTTCGGGGTCTCTGTCGGGTCGGATCCCACAGGTTCTGCAGGTTCCGGTCCAGCGGTTCGGCGCGCGCGGCTTCTCCGTGATGTGGAGCAACAGAGTCACGTGCATACGCTCATCGGGAATATTTGGGAATATTCCTCTGGAATATTTCTCCAGAAACGCACCGAGCGGAAAACCTGCCTCAGCTGACGAGCCCGTGCGCGCACACGAGCCGTCTGGAGAGCAGAACCCCACGGCGCGTGAAGTTGTTTACGTGCGTGGACAGACACAATAACAACAATAACCAGGAATGAACCGGGAGCGGCGCGCGCGTGCAAGAAACACGCACATGGCGGGAACCATCCCGGTCTGCTGGAAAGGAGGTCAGCCCGGAGCAGGGCGGGCTGCTGGGACCAGAACCGAACCGAACCCAAACCGAACCCTCCATCCGGGCCGCGCGGCCCCGTGGCGGGAATCAGGACCAGATGATGTTTTTATTTTACTCAGTTTTTGTGTTTCCGGGCGAAAATATGTCGCCATATTAGGAGGTTCCTCACCCCAAGATGGAGGGGGGGCGGGGCGGGGGGGTTATTAGCAATGCAGATTAGCTTCTGCTGAAGCACCTGCTGTGTGGCGCATGCGCTCTGGCTCCCCCCTCCTACCGGCATAGCCCCCCCCCCCCACTCTGCTGTGACATAGATAAACAAACAGATAAATAAATAAACAAAGGACGGGAGGACCAATCACAGTCTTCCTGGTTGAGGCTGCTCCAGGTTTCTCTGTGAACTTTGACCTTAGAGTCCAGATGACCCATCTGGCTTAGATGACTTAGAAGATGACTTGACAAACGACGACAGTCTTCAGAGGGAAACCAGCAGAGAGAAAACACCCGAGGCAGCTTCCCGCCCTCATCCAGTCTCTGCTGGGGCCCCTGGGAGCCCCAAGCTGCCAGGCGGCCCTCCAGGGGCCCCAGCAGGACATCAACTGGCAGCGTTGGTGGAGGAGGTGGCATGATGTGGGCCCCTGCACATGGCAGGGGTCTGGGTAGCAGAGCTGAAGCCTGTGGGGTTCCTCAGGGCCCCGTCTGCTGCTCCCCGCTCAGATTACAGATTACCACATCACTTCCAGGCAGATTGAATGTTTCTTTGTCACGGCGGGATCACAGTCGGGTCAGAACTCATCGGTTTCTCAAATCGGTTCCTATTGGAGGGAAATGAACCGGATCCGTTTATCCCTCAGTAGATCCATAAACTCCATTTTGTTGCTTCCTGATGCTGTTGCACTTGATTCTCATCTCCCTTCAGTTCTCTCTGGGATTTCTCCCTTTGAGCTGGATTTCTCTGGATGGGTTTCAACCGGCCAATCACAGAATAGAAGCAGGAGATGTGAACGACGCCTTGTGGTTGTAGCTTAGCATCAGAGGAAGGAACAGAGCTGATCAGTCCGTGTCGGTCACGCCTCCAAGGAGGAGCAGGAGGAATGATTACGACATTTTCCTCCAGGCAGAGAAGTCGGGTTCTTTAACTTCCTGTTAGCTTGGTGGCCTCTCCATGTGTCACGGCTAAATGTTAGCGATTGGTTAAAGTCATTTCCATCTTCAGCGGAGGCCACGCCCCCAGGACGCAGCGGAGCGTCGAGCCGGCGCTGGTTCCAGCTCCAGACGGTCTGCAGCATGAAACACGTTCAGGTCAGAACCATCCAGACCCATCAGGTCAAGGGTCAAAGGTCATTGCCTTGAGTCTGATTGTTAATGTAGTTTCTTGTTTTATTGTGGCAATTAGAAAAATAAACTTGCTGTGATTTCCATTTAACATCAGAGAAGTGAGAAGCTCCCAGTGCATTCTGGGATGTGTAGTTGTAGCGCTGTGCGGCCACCTGACCTCTGACCTCTGACAGCAAACCCTAACCGGCCTGCTGTGGATTATTTCTCCTGAACATTTGAAATGAAACTCCAGGTCTAATTTCCAGCCAGTTGCAGGATGTCGCTGTCCCAGTTTGTCCAGTTTATGCTTCTGGTTCTGATTGGCCCGGTTAATGGGCCGAAGCAGACATGAATAAATGATATGAGGAAAGAGGATAGGAAGGACGGGGGAGGATGAAGACGGAGACGTGAAAACGATCAGAGAAACGAGGAGGAGGATGGACACCAATAATTGGAAAATATGGAAAACTCGTGGAAAGGACGAAATGTGGAGCACAAGGGCCGAATTGTTGCTGTTTTCTCATCACATGTGGATCATGAGGGTCTCCTTAAATTTGCAGGTTTTTCGCTGTGAGCAGGAATGTGGACTTCCAGAGGTCAGGCGTGTTTTCCTGACACGATCAGATACACAGCAGCCCAGAATAATCCTCAGATTACAAGTTTACATAATCTGATCATATTTTTATCACATCAGTCAGAGCGCTGGAGTGAACACAGATCGATGGGTGTGATGCTCATCAGCACAGATTCAACCCAGAGAACAGCTGAATCACATTTATTTCATCATTTCTGCTGATCTCACCTGACAGACATTCATAGTGGCAACATGAACACAGCCCCCTTAATGCTGATGCCCCTAAGTGAAGGCAACTGGATGGCTTTATTAGTCACCTAATCAGAAAGCAGATTACATGGTGGTGGCAGCATCATGATGTGGGGATGTCTGTTTGCTCATCTGAGTGCGCTCAGTTGATCCCCAGAGGCAGAAAACATGTCAGTCACCAACAGAGTTCAGCTGAAATGAGCAGAAACACTGAGGAGGGGCCACTGGGGCCACCTGTCCGGCTGGCCCCGGGCGAGAGGAGGGGCCACCTGTCCGGCTGGCCCCGGGCGAGAGGAGGGGCCACCTGTCCGGTTGGCCTCGCCTCTCGCCCAGGGCCAGCCAGACTCCCGACCCAAACGGATGGGACCCACCTCCTGCTCGTTATGAGTCACACCTTTTAGTTTTCTGCTTCTTCTAGGGTAACACTCAGTGCTGATGCTAGCTTGTTAGCTCAGTTAGCTCGCCTGCAGAGTGGCTGTGAACATGCTAACCTAGGAACCAGTAACCAAGTTAATGATTGGTTCTGACCCGACCGGTTCTGTTAAAAACTCAGAGAATAAAAACATTTTGAAGGACGTTTCTGCTCCAGCAGGATCTTGGTTTCTGGATCTGTTCAGAGTTCATTGGGTTTTTTCAAGTTTTTAGCCGTTACTTAGCAACCAGGAGTTAATTTATGCTCAACTTTTTATTACTTGCTTTGAGAATTGATGATCTAAACTGATTTCTATTTAGTCTGATGTGAAAAAATAAAAACCCCAAACTAATTCTTGTTCATAATCTGCCTGCTAGATCAAATGAGGAAATAAATCCTGAATATTAAGTCTTCAGAAAATATATAATTCAGTTAGATTATTCTTTTGTTTTTATGATTATCTTGAGCAAACATAGAAATTTTTAACTTTTATGAGAAATAATCCCATACAGAAGGAAGAAATAAAAACAGAGAAACAAAATGAACTTTTATCCTGTTACCCCAAGAGCCACCATATAATATTTACATTTATTTCATTTAAGCACTTTTAAAAATAAAAATAACCTTTTCAAAAACAGATGTCAGTAAAACCTCTCCAGGATTTTAGCTAAAGAAACGAGCAAAAGCGGATTAAAAAAAAATTCAACTAGAGTTATTATGAAAATGATTCACAATATCAAAAGTACCGGGAAAAAGATTCAGATGATTAACTCCATCATTTGTCTAAAAACAGAGGGAGTTTTTTTTGTAAGTGACACATGAAGGAGAAAAAAAGAAGAATTTAGTGTTAGTTTGTTGAGCGTTGTCGTCAAGTTCATCTGAAATGTTTCATGTTTCCTTGGTTTCGTTTCATCAGGTTTTCCTCCAGATCTTTGATTCGGACGTTTATCCAGTCGGTTCTGATTCCTGCTGTTAGCTGAAGTTTTCTCAGAGAAATAGGGAATAAGACAGCAGATTAATTCAGAGTTCACCTCTACGATTATATTGATGTCGGTTTGGATCCTCGTGACGGCCAAACGGCCTCTGCAGCCGGACAGATTTCTGAGCCAAACCTCTGCAGAACGACTTAAGAGATAACATCAAATCAGCGCTAAGCTGCAGCCATGCGACGCTGCGCCAGCTTCCCAAATCAGCCGTTCCTCCCCGCCGCGAACGCAGCGAAACCGGGTCAGGCTGCAGGACAGAGAGCCGAGCACATGATGGCAGATAAAGGCCTGTCTGTGAGAGTGAGGAGGAGGAGGAGGCAGCGTGATGAAGGGGCCTCTGTTGGAGTCCGGGCTCTGATAATGACGCCAGTATGGAGG